GCAATCCACATTTACAAGATATAGATGCCATTTTAATTTTGTGATTGCCATGTGACTCTGAAATTTTGTGTTCTTTCCTTTCAATTAATGCTCCATTAAAAGCCATGGGGCATTTATTGAAGTTTTTCATTTTAAACTAGAGGAAATCAAGGGCTACTTCATTTTGGGATGGGCTACTAAGAATTCAAGGAAAGTAGCGTGACTGGCCTCCAAGCACTGGAGTTAATTTTTAGTCCTGGGCTAACATTTCTAGAGGAACTGGTCGCAATAATGCCACCCTGAAAATGACCTGTAGTGTAACTGTTTATCCTTTGACTGGAAAATGGAATTTGCTTTCTTTCTAAGTTCATCAGCAGTATCAGAACTGTTTATCTGTGAACAGAGTATGCTGTGGGTGTTTTCCACAGGATATTCATAGAAAAGGCAATGTAATTCCTTAGTAGATTATACAGTTGTGGAGCATGTTTTCCCCAGTGAGAGCACATGTTGATCCAAACAAGTGGTGCTATGTTATAGTGCTGGCATTGGAGGCAAGTAAACATGATCCAAATCCTGATCATTGTGCTAAAATACTCAGAGTAATTGTTAAGTTTGAAAGAAATGCTATATATCAACAAAACCAAAGGTATATAGCTGCCTAGTAAAGTGAATAGGGTCCCATACTCTGCATCTTTGAACTGAGAGAACTTTGCCATCACAGAGCAGTGGATAAGTGTCCAACCACTATACACAATATCAAGAATCAGACTAATTCTCTAGGGTTTTGGGTTATCTGCCAATTTGCTTCTTGGGAAAATTGTTTCATATACTGCCTTGAAAAACAGATGATAAGATTGAACAATATGTTCTCTACTGTTTAAGGAAATGTGAAGTGGCCCAATAGTTGGTAATATTGACAGAATAGATGACTGTGATGTTGCCTGTGGCAAGCTATTGTTCAAGAGATTGTCAGTAGTACCAGATGTCATTGGAAAAGAATACAAGGAATAATCAGTTAAAATATTGTCCTGTTGCAGAGAAGCATCTGAAAATCCTGGATGAGAGCTGACAAACTTCTTAAGTGATTCATATATGATTTGTCTGCCATAAAATTGGCACGGCCAATCCCCTGGCTGAAAAACAATAAATTTCTTTAAATAGGCAGCCAAGCTAGTGTGCATTGCCACATCATAGGCAATTTCAAAGTCTCCATTTGACTTCAGTCTCAATTCTACAAGACCTTATGGGTGCAAATCATCCATTTTGCACATCGTTTGTACATTTTCACTGTTACAGTATTGATGAATGTTGATTCATTCTGTCTCTCAATTTCAGGATTAAAAAATGCCTTTGTGAGCCAGTCAGGCATCAGAGAAGCATAACTCTCACTGATGCCATGCATGGACAATGCAGCAGTACTTAGTTGTATGCATGATTCAATATCTATACCATTTTGGTCATGTATACAAAGGGCATGCATTACAGGTACAGCTTGAATATCTTTAAAAACTTCAACAACTATGGTATACATTGTCTTTGCCTCTGACAATTTTTCCTCTTGTGGCCTTCTTTTAGTGTGAATGGCTTTGAAATCATCAATTATTAACACTATTAGCCATTTGCAATCTGTAGCTGTGGTTATAAAATCTTCAAAAGATTTGAGATGAGACTGTGACATTTTGTGCATAACATTGTTTAAAGTTTTTTTGGAACATGTATACCCCATGATATGTTCTGTTTCAATGCTCTCTTGATTTATCAAATTACTCCTGAGATGAAGAGCATGGTCCATATGAAGAGGATTGCATGTTTGACTGAGGCAGTAGCACAAATTATAAATGAATGAATCAACCCTTGACTGAATCCAGAATAGTGTCAAATTATTTTGTTGCACCTGTTGATATGAAAAACTCTCTAAAACTGTCTGGATCATACACTGTTTCTGCCTTCATAACTACTATGTCATAAATCTTTTTCTTGACCAATGCTATTTCCTCTGTCATGTCACATCCTACATTGGGTTGGAAATAAAATTTGCATTCAACTGAAATCTCAATTTCATATTGTTGCAAGTCATTGTAATTAGGGGTTCATGATGTAAAAGCCTCATAATAGTTCTCGAAAACAAGTTTCATTACTACTTCTGCCAAAGTGTATGATATCATAGCAAGGTTAACAAAACTCTCCTCGTTATTTCGATAAAGTCATCTAATTTTGTTCAGTCTTGTTCCTTGGGGATACAGGGTATGGAAACAAGTTTGACTTTCATTCTGAATGATACTATCAGGTGTACAAGCTTTTTTTATTGCCTGTAATAAGAGTCTCATCAGACCATTAGATTGTTACAGAATGCTTGTTATTTAAAAAGGTTGAAAAATAAAGTTGCCAAGTGCAGATCTCTTTGATTCACATCAATAAACTTTTTATTCGGAAATAATTGATTTATTAACCAATGGGGGTTAGTGGTGGAATTGGCCAGCAATCTTTATTCAGTAATTTACATTTCAACAGGAAGCCCAAAAGTTTTACTGGTTCTAATTCGCATTTCCTCATCCTTTCAGACATTCCATTCAGAAGCTGAGGATGCCTTTGCACCTATTCCTCTACAAATGGTCCGATTCTTATATGTTTTGGTTCAAGGGTAGTTTGGTCCATATAAAGTATTCAATTTTAAATGAAATTCGTCACATCATAAACTTATACGAAGATGCTTTCCTTTTTTTCAAAGTATATTTACAAGTGTCTACTATTGATAATTTTCAGCTTCCAAATCTGATATTTCTAAGACAAATGATTGAAAAAAGTTTACTTACTCTCGGATAAAATTTGTAATTTTTCCTCCGTTTCTAATAAACTCTCCCAGGATACAACTACCATTTCTCTAGTACTACTACTATGTGACTTTTCTTCACTCAACATTGATCTTTGTGTTTAGGTATTCGTCCCCGTTGGGTGCGATTCATGTCAACAAACTTTTGAACAAAAAAAAATTTTTGTTGAATTT